CCAAAACTCGAAAACTGGATGTACCTACCTATAATGTATTCTGCGATTATAAAATGGTTTGTAAAATATAATATTAAATCAATGACTTCGCACTGAGAGCTCCACTCTCATTCATAGTACGATGCTCATCAAATAATCAAAATTAATTGATGAGTACCAGAGAGTATTAATTACTACTTATATTTTTTAATATTATATTTTAATCATTTACAACAGCGGTGTTATACGTGATACGTAATAAATCCACCTAAAACTAAGACAAAACCACATATGAGCACAACGCTCAATCGTTTTCGAAATCTATCTTAGTATAAAATTAAAAACATTCCGCATATTGCATAATATAGTATATAATATGTCGTATAAAAAATATTATTAGATATTGAAAAAAACATGCTGTTCGTGATTTTTTATAGATATAGGTCGATGAATTGAAAACAGATGATAAGTTGCAACTATAAACAATAGGCACTGTATGGATCTGTATACAAAAAGCGATTCCACTGGATATAAAATCTCACCTCGCCGATGAAGATTAACTTTTTTTTATTACGAATGATATAAGCTTAAAAAAATGCTTAATTCTAGAAATAAATTTTTATAAACTATATTTTGATGAATATAGTGTAGCATTTTTCAGCGGAACAATAATGGCGCATCTACGGATACTCTTGATCCAGATGCAGTATAGTTTGAAGAAAACGAAAGTATAGTACATAAGTCTTAACAGTCCAGTTATAAAATATATTCATTTTTTATTAAGAATAAAGACTTCAACAGCTAGGTAATACTAGCCTGCGATCGTGMTTACACATTATTATTAATGGATAATTTAGTTATGATATGATTAGTGATTTCATCAAGTAGTTTTTACAGTAATGTATAAGTATTATTTACAGTTTTTGTTAGTTGTACTGTTKTACAGTTTTATCTTGATATTAAATTTTTGAATTTATGCCAATAGATTTGAAGAAGCTGTGGATCAAGTGTATAAAATAAGTTATTGGTACAGTAAACGATGTACAATACTACATAGTAGTAGGTACACTACTTATAACTTCTTAAACTTAATACTTGCTATATCATTTCTATATAATATACATTTATTTGTCATAAYATTAATACATTATTATTACAACTGCAATTATTTTACCGTATATTGACGTGTCTTYTAATAATTATTACGTTTTCGATGTCACGATGGAATCACGATCTTGTGCGACTGCCGACTAGACTATATTTTATATTATTATTCACTTATGGTTGTAATACATCGTATGGACTGCTGTTACTGCTGCTGYTACTGCTGCTGACACATTGCCGCAAACACCGCGAATGGATAGGAATTTTTTATTTCGCCAGATTACGAAATCTGCGTCGTCATTAATTCGCGTTTATAGGTATTTCATCTGCCCGGGTGCAGCATTGCTGCAGCAAGTTGACGCCGATTTCCGGCAAACAAACTCCATCGAGCAATCGTATTTTTTTTTTTATTACACCAAGGTATATGCGTATATTCTATTAATATTCGTAACAGTCAACAGTATAGACGTATATGGTCGGCTGCGGTAACTGCACATTTGGACGAACACTTATTATAATGTCTTAAACACATAATGTATTTTGTACGTAAACAAATAACACGCGTTAACTCGTATACATTATATATGTATATTAAAATGAGTAGCATGTACCAGCTACTGTTTTGCTATTTAAAAAACGGATCGGGTGGGACGGTGTGACCATCATCATGGTGCCAATATATAATATATGAGTGTATGATGACCACCCAATATGAAATACCTACAYCACTGATCATCAGTGTACTTATTGTAATATAACGAAGTGTAGATATATTTCACAGACGGTGACGCAATAGAGTCCCCGAAGTTACCAAATTTAAATATTCACATCTATTGACGATCTATATATTGTTTTCTAATATCAGGGTAGACTAATTTAACTCGCTCATCATTTACTGCCTATCGTCGATTGATATTTTATTTATAGTCAATGACAAATTTAAGTAGGTGCCTATACTATATGTTATACATGTATATATGGATAACGAACTAATTTATTTTAAAACTTTATGCAATATAAATATATCTATATGGTAAATCGTAAATGGACTTTAATGGATAATTTACCTCGGACACTACCCTATCACCATAAATTAAATATAATTGTATTTGATTTTTTTTTGATTTTGTCTAAAATATGTATAATTTTTACTTAGGACAATGCCGGATTATTTTGCCATCTTTTTAGTATCAGATATTAAAATATACCTATTTCATTTAGAATATAACTATTACTCTTGATATTTTTTAAGTTTATATTTATATTTAATTTGTTTTAAACGTTATTAAATGTTTTTTACTTTTATAATAGTACCTACATTTYATTTCATTCAAATAGACAATGATCAAATATAAGTATAAACATCTATAATTTATTATAATTACGGAAAATGGAAATGTTCAAAAATGTATTCTGTCCTAAGATAAAATTAGACATAAATAAAAAACAAAAAAAATCATATTTAAATGAATTTCAAAAATATGGTAGAGAAACGTCCGTGAGGTAAATTGTCCACAATTTACTTATATTGCGCTTTAATGTATTCTAAATAACCAAAATTATAAATTTAAATACTGGTCGCTAGTTCAATATTATTTATATGTGGATTCACTTCTGCATCATTGTAACCAGAGAATCTTGAAAGTGAAAGTTTGACTCTGCGGGTATAAATGTATATTATTAGCCATTAACTAGGTATCATATACCTACCACGTTTTTTTGTGATTTTACGAATTTCGTCAAAATCTAAACTTCAAAAGTTCATGAAAAATTACTGTGGATTTACGCACAATTTTTTTTAAATTTACATTATCAAAATTTACAAGAAACCTTGTATTATTACGTTTTCAAGTTTTTTGATAARGCGAATATTGTTGTAATCGCGATGCATTATCATTTTGATAATTAATGAGCGTAATAATTAGGTATATATACGATTATACGAATATCGGAATATTTCTACAACTATATATACATATCAYACTATTCATACTATATTACATTCATATTTGCATACAGGAAGTTCTCATTTGGATCCCGTAAATGGGCGGGTAGATCAATTTTGGTAGTAGGTACTACGTCACTATATGTGTAGTATAGATACCCATACTTATTATTATGTTATACTTCCCGTTTATACCGTATAATATGYGCCTAAGTATTTCTACGACTTACGAAATTATTTTATCCGTTAGTAATTTTAAGGAGTTGGGACGCATATAGTAGGTAATTATATACACTTAAATGAAACGAACTTTGTCGCCATCATATTATTATATTATATAGTCATAYACCGATGACTAACTATTATGACATGTTTGATTTTTATTGACATGGTAAAYAAGAACAATTTCTTTACAGCGTGAATACAACTATATTTCTATATGTATTTGTAATATTATTTTACTATACCTATCATATTGTTTGTATTCATTCAATATATTTCTCGTTGGAATCAGTTGAGTACATGCAAAATTCTTAAGGGGGCTTATAAGTCTCTTCATTTTTTTWAAAAGTATATAGTATACATATACTTAGTTATATATACTATATTGTATATATACATAGCGTRCATAATAGCCATATACGTTTTCTACCCTGTAAATAGAAGAAATACAGGAAAATCGTAATAATCATAATATTATATTGTATATATACTTGATACATATAATATATATACCACGTATAGTGCGTATACCTACCATTTATGAACTATTTGAGGGGCTTGTTAAGATTTGGAGGGAGGGTTATGCCTCTATTGCCATTCGCCGTCTATATTTGCGTCACTGAAATAATAATATCATTGTTCACTTCTATATTGTGCCACATATATACGGTATATGATATACCGCGAGTACCAATGGATTTGGATCCAGTTTCTGGATGACAGTTTCTGGGGGRSACACTAGATGAAAATTTATTAAGGGTGGCCTAACCTGTAATATATTATACACAATTCGAAATTAAAATAAATTATCGGTGACAAACTATTATTTTTCTTCGGCTCGCTTAACATTATTTTGTTAAATTGTAATTTTTTACCCTTGGGGCACCAATAATAAAAGGTACCAAATAAAAATTACCTAATACTTATCAGGTAGA